ATTCTGTCGTTATAATCACAAATCTGCAGGCAGTCAAGCTGTACCTTTACCATCATATCTCAATGATAGTCAGTTTCAACCGGCATTTAAACTGCCTACAATGTTTATTGATTCATTGGGGTTTCCTGATGGCTTGTCTGTGTCAGGCAGAACATAGTTGTAGTTTTGTCATGATTTCGCCCGCTCCAGCAAGGCCGTGAAGCGTACCTCCACCTTGCTCCCGACCATGATGAAAGTTGTCACAACAGTTCGCCTCGCAGAAGGTTTCTTATCCAAAAACCAAATACTTTCAACCCCAAGGCCCATGAATGAAGCGAACCGGCTTCGTCATGAGTTAGCAAAGGCCCAGCGGGCATTTGATTTGGGTGGAGGTGGCCGCCAGAGCCGTTTCGCAGCATGGAAAACATATTCCGGATTGGTTGCCAAAGCAGCCCAAGAAAGTGTTCCCAGCTGCGGCCGGTACGGCCAGGTGTCGCAAGAGGTAGCTGAGTTGCCTGGATTTGCTGTAGTTTGCCATATCTATTTTTTTGGGTTGTGTTTCGCTTTGGCCTTGGCAGAAAATCTATAATTTTGCTTTCTCTAGCGTTCTTGCAGAACATCGAAGGTTTGTCCCCAGCAGCACGATTCAAAGCGAACACAGGAGGTACCAGGTGCTCACTGTTCGGCTTCACGCATGTGCTGACTTGCAGTTGGCAATCACAGAGCGGGTGTGGAGAGGCAGCAAGCCCAGAAAAGGAAGCTCCATGTCTGGCAAGCCTTTTGATTCCCCATTGAAGGCTGAATATACCACCTTCGTCCACCTTGTGTTGTTACAACACCGTGGCGCCGGCCTTTACAAAGCAACTTCACATAGTGAAGCAGTGTTCGTGGACCCTCATAGCATGGATGCTGATCTGCCCACGGTCCTCTATGAATCCAGGCTGCCTTTGAGAAGAGTTTCGTTGTCAGCCGTCCGCCAGATTCAGCCAGCTTTTTGGGGTAGCCGTTTTTAAACATCACGCCATTACGCAAACTAGGAAATCCCACGAAGCCAACTCACTTTCCATGAAACCGAAAACTATCTCCTGGTGGATGTGTCTGCCGATGCTCGGAGTGCGATGCTAAAGATGGCTGGGGCGGCAGTGCCTGCGAGCACCACGTCGCAAGCCGTGTTTACTCTCTATTCATTCCCCCCCACAAAGGGCGGGCGCGATGCCATTTGCTCCTACATGGAGGTCTTGAAGCGGCTGTGTGAAAAGACGGAGGGGAAGCCGCTTGGCGTCCACAACTGGGAGGAATTGAAATGCAGAGCGCCTCTGTACTTTGCATACCAATTCTCCCATGAGAAGTTCTCGCAGAAGCTGACCCACGACCAGCAAAGCACAGCAGTTTGGAAGAAATTCAAGGAGATTGCGCCGAACAGGAAGGATGGCTCGAAGGCATTCCGGCGTTTCCTGGGCATTGTGAACAAGGAAGCACCGAAGGCCCTCCCCATTGAAGTTGACGATTGAGGTCTGAATGTAGCAAAGCTTTTTGGGCAAACCCTGCAGTGCGCTCGGTACGAGCGCACATGAAGCAAAGCTTTTTGGGCAAACCCTGCAGGGGCAAATCTGGCACCAGCTTAAGTGGTGCAATATGTTTTTTCTTGCCGTCCAGACATGGTTCTCTGTGAATTTTAGAGATTATACATATATACATGTATATATATATATAGTATATTTTGTTGCCTTCAAGTTTAAAGCAAATTGTTTAGGTGAGTGTTCATATGTTTCAAGAGGGTATCGGAACTACGTTTTGTGTAGCAGAGAACCGCTGTCTGGCATGACTTCTGGGTCAGGGGCAGGCCTGCAATTTCAAATTCAGCAGACTGGGGGCAGAAGCTGATGAGAAAGAAACAAGACCTCTAGCAATTTTGAAAGATGTCCAATTTTTATTGAAACAAATCACTTAACAAAACACCCACAATAACAAAGATCATAACCACGGGACATAAGGGATGCGATTCGGAACTTGAAAGTGCCTGACTCGAGCTTTACCCCCAAGATCCCCCAAGTATAGCTCCAAACATCGCCTCTGTGACTTGCAGCGTTTGTGTGAAGTGAGGTGCTCTTCGCTGGCGTGCTGGTCCGCCACGGGTGCTTGGAAACTTGAGGCCAGATGTTTCGCCTTGGGCGGCCAGCCCTTGAACGTTGGAAGCTGCAAAGCCAGATTCTGTGGATGCCTTGGGAGTGACAAGGGTTGCTCACAAGACACCATTAGCATTCAATTCTGACTCATACAATGACAAATCAATCTTGGGATTTTTTTCGGTTCAGATTGAGAACTCAATTGTGACTCATGACACCGATTCTCTGGCTTTGGTGGCCACAGCAGGCCTCGGCCCCACAAACATAGCCCTGAACATGGCTTGGGATTGTGCGAACACCATCAAAACAATTTCCAAAAGTGTTTTTTTTTGCTGCGCGTGTCATGGAAAAACACCAGGCTTATGTCATGGGAATTCATGGGAAAACGAGATATCGTACAAGATCACATACAAGATATATTGGGAATGCTATTTGCGAGGTTTTTGACATTTTTTGCGCAAAGCCGTCAAGCCTAGGCAACGGGCAAAAACATTGTAAAAACCAATGTTTCTGCCCAACAAAAACGACAAAAACCATCCCCCAATGGTTGGAGGATGATCTTCAGATATTTTCAGATTCATGTGCAATTCATTTAAGAGGCTTCAACCCTGCCGAATCTTTATCCCTTATTAAAATGAATTGATGTTACTACCCGAACCAACATATTTACCAGAGGAGGTGCCCAGATTTTATCCCTTATTGAGATAAGTTGATCTTACTACCCCAATCAACATATGTCCCAGAGAGGGTGCCGGGTGTTTATCCCTTTTTACGATAAGTTGATGTTACTACCCCAATCAACAAATTTGCCAGAGAGGGTTTTTGAGATAAGTTGATGTTACTACCCCAATCAACATATTTGCCTGTACATACACCAAATAAAAAGCTCATAATTATTATAGGTGTATATTATATGTGTTTTCAAGGACCATTACATATCTATACCTATTATCTATTACCATATACTATATAAACTATCTATTCTATACGTCTGATGACTGGGTTACCCCATTCTATCTGGCCATAAGGGGGATCTATCTATATAATTCTATATCATGACGATTGGTATATCATCGGTAGATCTCCCATCTGCCTGTGTGCCAAGCGCTGCATGGCTTCCACCGCACAGCTGTACCGTTTCAAGGCCAGCTCCAGGCCTCGAGCGGCGCAGTGAGAGGGCGAGGGGTTTAAAAAAAGGCTGGTGCCGGATTTTTATTCCTTAATCAGATGGGCGAACTGTGCCATGTTGGGTGTGGATCAACGTCCTGGTTGGGGCGAATAATTTGAAACAAAAAATCTTGCAAACTTTAGGACTAGAGGACTTTCTGCTGCTACCGGACAAGGTATGAGTACATGTCTAATTACTAAGTGTATATATGCATATCAAACATCACCATATATACCGTTATATCCATACATGGTCGCTTCAGGCCAGAAACAAACCAATAAGCAAGTGCATCAGGTTGAGATCCATGAGCTTGCCCTGCCTGTACAGTATACCCCATGGCATAGTAGTTCACTGCAAACCTGCGGCAGTTGATCATTCCATGGGAAGCAAAAAACAACTAGACGAAGCTGAAATCTGTAGCGAAACACATGGAATGTACCTATAAGATTTAGAGAATTCTCTCCTTACTGTCCTGCAATGAGATATTCTTAGATATCTGGTTTGCCTGCATAGATTGATGGTGGCTTTGGAATGGTTTGGAAGACCTTCTCACGGGTTTGCAAAAAGTTTCCTGCTGCAGCGGTGACAGCAGTTGCGGACATGCTATTGTGTTTCAATTTTCAAGAAAATGTATGGAGAGGGGCCCCCCACGTTTCTCATGGCTGCCAGTAGGGATATATTGTGTATATTATTCATCTTATCTTTATATTGTATTCCAAAATGCACACATAAAAATAATTTTATTCATTATGATAATATATATATATATAAGTTCACGTTATAATATATATATATATATATTACACTATATATTATAATATATAAATATACTATGTATATTATACATATCATATATACATTAAATATATATATATATTGATATAAACATCAACTGGGACTAACTATCCGAACATGGTGTTAATCCCATACCCCCTCGATCACACCGAATACCACCAATAGGGGGGCTCCCAGAATGAACAGATCAAGTTTGAAGGGGATGGTTTTGACATCAGGGGGATGGGAATTTTGCGCCATCCAACTTAGGTTTTCTGTACAAAATGATCCTGTTGTTTGACATGTTTTGCGCCCAACAGATGGTCATTTTTCAGGATTCACATCTGTTTTTTTTCCAGCTAGATATGGCTATGACTCAAACAATTGGTGCCAGTGCGCCGATTGAAACGCCCTTAGCATTTAACCATGCATCTTTTGGGCATATGTGAAATTCTGGTCCATTCCCATATCATATGCTAGACATACATTTGATGACTTTTGAAGAAGCAATGCGCAAATAAATCATCAGCATAAACCACTGGTTGATTCACGGGGAAACAAATGCTGACTCAGCATAAATGCTGGTGATTGTCGAGGCTGTAAATTATCTATGTGCACATGCATCAACTATATCTATAGCTATATTGTTCTCTATATCTATTTTGTCATTATTGTTACTATTGTCATCACTATTGTGATTGTTTTAATGTCATTAGTGCTATTTTTATGATTTGTATGCATGGATTGATTAAAAAAACGTGTATGCATATGTAAAATGAAGGTGTTTGTATATATGTATATATATATACACGGCATATATCTCACACACACACATATACATCTATATATATATATATATACACGACATATATCTCACACACACATATACATATGTATGTATATATATATGCACCTTGCAAAGATCGTTTGTGTGCGGTGCTGGAAAACCTGAGGCATTATCCGGGCGTCCTCCACCGGATCATCCTCTATCCTGTGCCCGTCGCTGCCGCTCTCTTCACCCGTCTTTTGATTGGCAAAACAAATGGTGCAAAACAAACATTTTGAACGATCAGGTTGTAAGGCGGTTCAGATTTAGCATCTCTATGAGTCTCTATGTCCAAACATCTCAAGATAATCTACTCAGTTTGTTTTTCGACGTGCTCACGCATGTAATTGCTGGGGTTTTGATTTCACATCTGATAGGCAGTTGAGTGGGTCATGGGGCTCAAAATGAGCGACTCCCCAAAGAAATAGCGTGTTTCACTCATTTCAAGAGTCCCCAAACTTGCGCGGCCGGTAGCACATTAAAAATCCAGGTTTACTTGGCCAGTGGAAATCTGATCAACCTCTTAAGAAGGGAACCCGCTGAGTAAGCATAGCCATATTATCTATCTCAGGACCTTTTTTCGGCAATCCCATTGGTTTGTGGGAAAATCTACTGGAAACATCTACAATTATTCAGGTGTAAAAAATGGTAAACACATCAAACACACATTATTCCCAGCCAGGTTCTTGACAAAACAAAAGCATTGCGGCTGCCCCATCATCTCTCCCGACATCACCGAGGCATGGCACTGGCTTTTGTGGATTCCATCACTCGGAGTCGCATTTGCCTCATCAGTGAGCGGAGCAAGGGCGGCTTTGAGAAGCACTTGGAAGAGTACGTCAGCCGCGTGGCCGGAGAGGGTGGGGGGTGAAGGGCCAGTGCAGGGCTGTGGATGTCTCGCGGCCTAGCGGCCTAGCGCCAAGGTAAGGAGAGCCTACCGCCCTACGCTTGGGAGCGCCATCCCAACCTCTCATGACGTGGCTCCCCATGCGCACGGCTCCGGAAATCTTCAGGAGCCTTGTGAGGAAATCGTCTCTCAACAGACCGATGCCAATTTTTTTTGTGGGTGATTCCTTTTGCAAAATGGTAAGCACTTAACACCCATGACAAATGATGTCAATCAGGTAAACCCATGAAAGATGCATTTGATCCAGACCAACTGATTAGTGGGTTCAAATATCTTTTGCCTTTCACCCCACCCGAGATCATGATCCGTATTGTTCATTTTTCTGGGAGGGTTGGCTTAACGAATACCAACTAGGTGTTTCACATTTTCTTAATTAGAACTTAGAACGTATATTCTCGTTGGACCAGTTCACATCGACCTTTCTTACGACAGCTGCCATGGGTTTACTGCCGAGTTCTAAACAAAACTTATATAATATATTTATATTTATTCATTTATTTATTTATTTATCTACATCTACACACACATATATATATATACATATTGATATAGATAACTTAAAACCACGGGTGGAAGGGTGGGAGCCACTGTCAGCTGGGTCAAGATGATCCAATGTTTTAGCATGTTTAAGCCAAAGGCTCCATGTATCGATCAGGGTTCGGGGAATCTCCAAATCCTGCGTGGTTTATCGAACTAATTGGTCCATCTATAGCGACCACATGGAGCCGATGCAATCCCTGGAGGCAGCTTTTGGACATCCATTTTTTGTGCAGCTCTAGTAGAATACAGTTGAATACAGTGGGAATTGGACAAGGCCAAGCTAAAGCAGCCTCCGGGTGCTCCGTCACCGGCACGAGCCCATCAGGTTTGCCTGTGGCTCGTGTCAGCAGCACCGTCCGGTGATGGTTTTCCAGCGTCCCAAGGACGTTTATTCACCGGGAACCGGGTCATCAGCACGGCTGACAATGATGTTTGAAAGCGGAGGAAGCCGCGCCATAGGCAGAGTTTTGCGATGAAATTCGTCATCGTCATCATGGGATAAGAACTGATACAGGCAGCAACCTTGGATTTATCCCACCTGCAACTAACTTTGAAAAAATGGGGGTTGCTTCCCATAAGGCTTGGATCCCACCAAATAATCATCGGGGGATGGACCCCTGCCTAAGGATTATGACGACAGCGTAGGAAAGAATGACCAGAGGGGGCCTGTGTCCATCAGCCAGTTAAGGTGCAACTTATCTTATATCATGTATACTGTATACTATATTATTGAGTCAGTAAAGAGTCACTGTGACAAAGCCTAGCCTCAAATGGGAGATTTTCAAAAACCCAGGTAACCGCACTACTACCGAACATATAAGTTGCCATTTTTGCATTTGTTCATCCTCTCACAATAAGGCACTCGCGATGCACCCTGTGCATGGTGTACATGTTTTTAATTATAAGATGGCTCAAGTTAGTTTGAGATATTGTGTCCAGCAGATATCAATGTCTCCAATAAAGTTAGTTTATGTTAGTTTAAATTTTAAACAATATAAGATTCAAGCGGCTGGCTTCTCCAAACGCCGTGCGTTCGGCTCGATGAGGTGCTGATCCAACCAAGCGGTGTCGCTCCAGCGGCGAATAGCAGACGCTTTGCACATCTTTTTCTGGGTTTTAGATAATTATTACATATAGCACACACACATATAAGTAATATATATATATATAGTATATATATATAGATAATATAATATGGTATCATACAATATAAACAAACATAATATAGCATAATATAACATAATATAGCATAATATAACATAATATAATATAACATAGTATAACATAATATAATATGATATAATACGATATAACATAATATAATATAATATGATATAACATAATATAACATAACACAAAATGATTTAACATAACATAATATAACATAACATAATTTGGCATAATATAATATAACATAATATAACATAATGTAACATAATATAACATAACATAATATAACATAACATAATATAATATAATACAATATAATATAATATGGAGTACACACACACATATATATATATAACCGAAGGAAGTTTAGAAGTCAAACTTCCGACAATATGGAGAGATGAAAAGCAGAGCAGGGAAGAGGCAGAGAGAAGAGAAAGATTAGAAGAGAGAAGATCAGAAGAGAAAGAGTCAGAAGAAAGAAGATGCAGATGCGCGAAAAGGTAGGAAAGTCGCGAAACACTGTGTTTTTCCCATGATTTGTGGCTCCGGAGGGTCGAAAAGTAGGCTCGCTAAAGCGGCGGGTGCGGAGCCAGCTGGCCAGATGAGAGATGAAAAAGTGCACGCCGTTGTGGCGCGAAGCACATTTGCAAGGCAAAATGTACAAACCACACCATGGTCGGACCACTTTTGGAAGTTGCGATGTCGAAAAAGTGCACGCCGTTGTGGCGCGAAGCACATTTGGAAGTCAAAAGTGTTAAAAACTGGCGGTCTCGGAGCAGTTTTGGAAGTTGAGATGTTGAAAAAGTGCATGGCGTTGTGGCGCGAAGCACATTTGGAAGTCAAAAGTGTTAAAAACTGGCGGTCTCGGAGCAGTTTTGGAAGTTGAGATGTTGAAAAAGTGCATGGCGTTGTGGCGCGAAGCACATTTGGAAGTAAAAAGTGTTAAAAACTGAGGGTCTCGGAGCACTTTTGGAAGTTGAGATGTCGAAAAAATGCACGCCGTTGTGGCGCGAAGCACATTTGCAAGTCAAAATGTACAAAGCACTAGGGGTTCGGACCACTTTTGGAGGTTCAGATGTCGCTTCGCCGCTTCGCTTCACTACACGACACTACGTTACATTACACCACACTCCACTATACTACACTACACTACACTCCACAACACTACAACTACAACTACACAACTAGAGTACACTCCACTACACTCCACTAAATTAAATTTCACTACACTACATTACACTACACTACGCTCCACTACACTACACTACATTAAATTACACTACACTCCACTACACTACATTACACTACACTACGCTCCACAACACTACAACTACAACTACACAACTACACTCCACTACACTCCACTACACTAAATTACACTACACTACACTACACTACCCTACACTACACTCCACTACACTACACTACACTCCACTACACTGCATTACACTACACTACCTTCCACTACACTTCACTACATTACACTACACTCCACTACACTACAACTACAACTACACAACTACACTCCACTACACGAAATTGCACTACACTACACTGCATTACACTACACTACATTACATTCCACTACACTCCACTACACTACACTACATTACACTACACTACAATACACTGAATGACACTACACCACAGATAGACAGGTAGACAGATAGACAGATAGACAGATAGACAGATAGACAGATAGACAGATAGACAGATAGATAGATAGATAGGTAGATAGATAGATAGAGAGACAGGTAGACAGCTAGACAGCTAGACAGCTAGACAGATAGACAGACAGACAGACAGATAGATAGATAGATAGGGTAATTAGATGAAAGAGATAGAGAGAGAGAGAGAGATAGATACATAGAAAATAGATAGGTAGGTAGGTAGATAGTCAGAGAAAGAGATAGAAAGAGTGAGAGAGATCAAGCACCTTTCAGTCCATCAGTGGCTTCGCTCTGCCATCCCTGATTCACAACAACCAACCTCTCCTATAGGTTTCCTATTTTTGAAACTTCCGCCACCGCCTTGTGCGGTACTACTGGTATAACAGACATGAGTACATAACATGGTTGAAGTCCCAAGCTGCAGCTCTTGGTCACGCTGTTCACGCTGGTAGGAGGCCGAGGTGAAAAAGTGGGTCCGCGAAGGGTGGCAGTGAAGGTTTTTCTTCTGGGGACGTTCATGAATCCATTTTCATAAAGATTCGTAGTGATTTTAGAATATGCCCGTGATGTTTGGATTCCCATTGTCGAATGACAATACCACATATATCATGCTTTGACAGTGGCACATAGAACTCCAAATGCCGGGGGCATATGCATGAAGTGCAAGCAAGGAATCCCCGCGGTTTGTGAAAATTGAAAGCACGATGTGGCTTGGCCCAGGGTTTTTGGCACAAAGTTCTCGCAACGTGGCCAAGACTCAGAAGTCAAAATGGAAACATATGGAACCATACAAAAATCTCAGCATTTTTGATGCAAAGGCCCCTTCGGCCCATCGAAAGGGCTAGTCTTTGACGCCGCTGCTGAGCCGCGTAAGCGAAATCCAGCATCATCCAAGGAATCCATAATCATCCAACATCATCCACCGATCATCCACTAGTTCAATCTAATTCATCCACATCATCCGGTAATGCGGTAATGCAAAAAATCCTCCAACTCTTTGGTGGTTAGGTTTCCGCTACGGAGCTATGGGTGTGACTCATTGGTGTTTCCATATTTCCATCATTAAAAACCCCCCAGCTGAAAGGGGGAAGCCGCGGAGCTACGAATTGAGTCTAAAAGATGCCGCGACCGGATTTTTCCCCCACGGCCGCCACGGAGGAAAAGCTTCTCGGGACGTGGGCAAAGTGCCAATGCCGCCGGCAGTCCCAGCGGCCAAATCGTGGTATGATGAGTGGTCAGGGAGACCGTTTACATGGAAACAATAAATAGTGACGAAGCGATACTTAGAATAACTGGTTGGTGGTTTCAAACATTTTTTATTTTCCATAATATATGGGATAATCCTTCCCATTGACTAATATTTTTCAGAGGGGTTGAGACCACCAACCAGATAATGTTTGGAATTTCTTTTTCCAAACCAGTTGCAGCTAGATTGGTGGCGCCGCGGTTCTAAGTAGGTACTTGGAACATGGTACCTGAACAGGTGCACTTAGAATAAAACAATATAAAACAGCATGCAACTAGCGATGATGTTGATGATGAAAACATGATTGCCAAAACCTGTGGACTGGTTCCACAATCCTTGCATTCTGCAGCCAGGAGGAGATCATGCCGTGTTTTGTCACACGTATCCACTGTAGTCATGCGAGATATCGATATCTGATACTCTGTATATTCAAGGAGTTTTCTGACAAAACAAACTCTGCTGCTTGTTTGCACCTTCCTTTACTTGGCCTTGACTACTCACTTAAACCTGTCTAATTCCGAGGCAATTTACATTGGTCTTGATGTAAGCTATGCAAACATGCCACTTACTTCCCATCTTTTCACCCATGGAATCATAGAAAAAAATGGATGTCCCTTTCCCGGAACAAAATCCTTACAGAACCAGGTGCTTAGAGCCTGTCTAATTTAAAACCAACCAGCCATGGTCAAGATGGCTACTTTCCATCTTTTAAGCAACATGGAACATGGTCGCTATTTGTGTCCCAAAAGTCCAAAAATCCAGGATCCATCATCAATTTATACTTGCATATACTTACATTTGTTTGATTCCAAATACATTGTTTTGTTCTAAGTATGTGCTATCCTATTTTTATTCTAAGCATATGGATTTTTCAAAATTACCAGACGGTTCTAAGTACGTGGTTTTCAATTTTGGATTTTTAAATTCGAAGTTCCACTTTGTCACTAATGATATGAGAAATATAAAGCTGTACCTTCAATTAATCTATTTACTGGTTGATTCATTTGTTTAGCTATCCCATTTGTTCGCAGTCTTTTTCTTTCTATTCTTACTTGTTCTTTTCTTGATTTATTTGCAGTTATTTCCTGCAATGAAAGGCAGCCCTACGTGATCTATGCCCTCAGAATGCCAGCCCTGTGCTTGAGGCCTCAGGGAAAGCCAGAAGGTCATGGTAGACCCAGATCGGGTGGAACCGAGCTGTTAGGGCCTCGGTGACGGCCAGGGCAAATCACACGAATCTCCGAGCCGCCCTTGTCATTGCTTTCAATGGAAAGCCGGTGCGCGAATCTATGCCGTAAAACCAATGAAAAAAAAAAACGCACACACACAGATAATTGAGATCCTGGCCCTCAATATACAGTATGTAAGCTTATATACCGTGTATATACATATATATACACACTATATATACACTATCATCCAAAACTCTAGGGGTTGATTGGGATGATAGCCCCATCCATATCTGCCCGTCTCAGAAGCCGTTGGCTCCACGACGTCCATGTTTTGTTACTGCTGCGAGAGCCAGCCGGAGGTGACAGTTGAGGTCCACTCCTCACCAGTTCTGGATGAGGCCAAAGGGTGGCTATGGAAAACGGCCCATTTATAGTGGTTTACTGATTTACCTATGTTTATTGTTGATATTTGCAGTTGATTTACCTATATTTACACTTGATTTACCTATATTTACACTTGATTTACCTATATATTTACACTTGATTTACCTATATTTATTGTTGATTTACCTATAAAGAATGGTTATTTTCCACAGCTACAAGTGAAATCACCAGAGGGTAAAACTAGGACATCACCATGGGATGGCAAGGATCACCCAGAGATGGTCGGAGCACACAATTGTAGTTGTGGTGAATCTATCTATCTATCTATCTATCTATCTATCTATATATATATATACATATCTGTATATGCGTATAGCATACCCATCATACCCACACGCACACACACACACAATCACACATACAGACACATACAGACACACACACACACATATATATATATATTGTAGCATTACATGTGTACAATAGATCTGGTTAGAGGCAGTAACAGAAGCCAACAACCATCCCTTTTCTTGTTGGTTCAGGCTGGCAGTGCGTTGGAAGAGCCTCCTCAGCAAGGAGCCTTTTCGGCCTCTCGGCTTGAACGTGTCCAAAACTGACATACCCTCTGGTAATTTAACATAGCTATTGAAAATGGCCATTTATAGTGAGTTGTCCCAATAAAATGGTGATTTTCCATAGTTATGTTACTTTACCAGAGTGTAATTTTATACCATTTGTGTGATTTTGTTAGGACAATGATGGGTGGTTTTTTGTGACTTTTAGTGTCGGCGTGGAGAGTCGATGACTTGCCGCTCCTGCCGCTGAGGTGAGTCTGGAGCTCGAGGACCTCCAACCGCGTTTGCTTGGCACCTTGGCAGCCTTGGCAACTGATCGCAGTCCCCTAATGTTGTGATACCCTCAATATGGTCCCCCAAATCAAGGTTCTGGGTGGATGTTTAATATGTTTGGGAATTGGTTCAATAGGCTAGTGTGTTGTTAGTGATATCAATGGGGAGACCAGTTCACACCCAGCTCAAGCGCTTGACACTTTGCAGAGTGAGATTGACCACGGTTTCTGGGTTTAAACCCAATTCTTCCCTGGTAGAGCAGACCTTCATGGTTATGAGGACTGGAGGATGCCAAGATGATCCAAATATTTATAAAGAAGCAACCTGTTTTTGGCTGGGGTCCTCAAGTTTTGATGAAAGAACCTGTTTACCGCGACAGGCTTACATTAATGTAGCCCTGTAGATCTCTGTAGGGTCTCTAGATGTCTTGTCTCTAGGGTTCGTCGAGCGTACACATGCTTCAGGAATGTTTTTGAAGCATCAGTCTTCATGCCGCAGTTCTGCAGTACGTGACGAACGGGCCTTTTTTTTTCTGTCCAATAGTACCATTTCTGTTGGTTTCAAAAGGTCTATATCATCGATATACTGTATGATGATGATTATCATTCCATATGATGACCTATGATAACTATATGACTAAGTCATTGGTCATAAGTCATCCATATACTATATCTTAGGCATAGGATGACTTATGATGACTTATGACCTAAGATCATCCAGTTATCCTCTATTTCTTGGGGGTTCACCTCCAAGCCTTCCTCAAAACAGACCAGTCTCTGCCAGTGTGGCGGCAGGTGTCGCCTTGGATAGCACAGAGGAGAACCTTGGACTGGAGGTCGACCCTTACCGTCCCCGGTGCTGTCTCAAAATCCCTTAGGGATTTGCCATCAAAGTGACGCTTCACCAACCAGTTTAAGGGGTCAAGCATTGATTTAACATGATTTAACATGGTTTCAGCAATGAACAATGGAATCAGAATTTGGTTTGTTCACAAATGGGGTGTGCCCATGTATGCTCCAACTTGGCAATATTAATGAGGCGATCAACATTTTCGGGTACCCTTGGCTGAACCCAGATTCCCTTCGGTAGTCCTCACAGATGGCGACGCAGAGGTGGCGTACCCTGGGTAAACAACCTTGAAATAGACATTTCTAGCAGATTCTGTCTATTAAAGTCATTTGAAGTCTATTTTTTACCCCCTTTGATCTTTGTACATATTTCATGCATATTCACTCTGTTGCTCTCAATGCCATTGGTTGGCCGGTGGAAGATTGGTTTTCCCCTGCATTTGGCAAAAGGAGTTGGCATCGAACGAGGGATTCACCCCAAGAGTTGGTGTGGGATTTCCCACCACGAAAAAACCGTGCATCTCAGACTCAGACCCCCCTGAAGCGAGGCGAAACCTCATGATTGTGGGAATCTTTGACGGCATCATCAAGAAGTTCAACGATAAGTTTCCCAGACAAGCGGTGAAGAAGTTCGACAAGATCTCCGCAGTGAATGGAAAAGCAGGAACTTCCAATGAAATGCGCAGGACTGGCAGCCTGCTGCTGCTATGACCCGGGAATGATGAGTCATATCCTACAGAGAGAAACATCACTGTTTCATACCTTTTCACTCGGTGTTTCCCACACCATGTCTTACATAATCCATCAAAGCTTGCATTGTCACCATGCTTCCTTGCCCCCTTGGGTTTGTATCTAAGGATATCTAAGGTCAAAGCCCTGTCAGTAGTTGCTGAGCAAATTCTCATTCGGCAATGGACAACCTTCCAGTGGTGTCCACTTCCGGAGAGCTTTCCCATCACAAGAAATGTGGATGACTTGTTGCAAAATTTGAGTGCCGCATGGTGTATATTATCTTGGATGCTTAAATCCTATATATGTAGATCTCCACGATTGGTTAACTGTTATATAACTGTGGCTAATGTCCGTGTTTTTTTTTGTGATCAACGTTTTTTTTTGATGCTTGGACCAGCACCTGCTTCATGGCTAAGCGGCTAAACATGGCTAAACCTTGGATTGGTAATCTTTTTGCCATAGATTGGGGCACACATACCAACCTGGAACTCCAACCAATTTAACAAATACCAACCAATACACATCATGTGAATGCACTTCTACTTTTGAACCACAACATGTGACATGAGTACAATGTACGTATAATATGCACTACAACACTAATGATTGATCAATATTGATCATGATACTGTAATAGTGATTTCATGCCTATATCATTATTGTCATTATTCGTATTAATTATATGTGTACACTACATATGATTATGTCCATTCGATTGGCAAAATCCAGCCATTCGTTACACATACTAAACCTCCATCGTTTAGGTCATTTTTTAACAACTAGTTATTCAACCCTTCATTAAAGGACCTGTTTTTTAAATAACTAAAGGTCAATGGTGTTTTTTTAATTCAAACCCTTCATTAGAGTTTATTTATGAAGGAAACATTGGTGCTTCAATGGCTTTTTCCAGCGCCCCTCGTGGCAAGTGGAGGATGATGGTCTCTGCCATTGCAGATGAAACCTTAGAGCTCTTGCAGCTGACCCTGCGGCGGCCCACGGAACATGAGCAGCTCGGTCAGCTCGGTGCTTCCGCAGTAATTAACTGGTTAGTCACTGAGATTATAATGATACAATAATTATAGCCTATTTACAAATGGGTGTTTACTTAGAATTTTAGAGGGTTAAGCCAAGCTTGGTTTTGGAAGAATTTGTAGGGGATTTGCCAGAGTTTCTTTTTTTTTGGGGGGGATAACCTGTCGTTTGGGTTAGATGTTGGTGGTTTGATTTTTTTTTCGGTGCGAGTTGTTTTCATAGTCTCAAACCATCAACAGTTAACTGGTGCTTTGGGCTGGTAGTTTGCACCTTTGGACAACTCATCTGACCCAGTCGCAGAAAGGTAACATGGAATACCCTTAAGTTAAGTGACCATTATAGATGATCTACAAATCAGTGCACTGACATTTGATTGGGATGTATATGACTGTGACATACTGTGACCATTCCAATGTCCTTAATTACAAGAGAATGACTCTGATGATCTACAACATATTAAACCAGGATTTCGACAGGGAGGTCTTCTGTCGAAAACTTGGGAAGGGAAGCGAAGCAGCGAAGCCAGGATTCGCCTGGAACGTCCCGGGGCACTGGGCTTACAAGTGAACTACACCGATCTGCGACTTGGATTTCATGAGATTTTCATGGGATTTTTCATGTTTTTTTTTTTTTTCTCTCCCTCTCCATGGGATATATAAGATAGAGATATAATGATATATAATATCAGCATATATCAGCAATGAGAATGGGATTTTTAATGGGATTATATCATATCAACGATAATAGTGGGATTTAAGGGGCTTTGTCCAATAATAATGTGAGACTCACTGTGTTGTCACTGGAATGATTGTTTATACATGGATATCATCTCCAAATGGCCGTATGATAACAGCTATTTGCAGGGTAGCCATTATTACAATTCAGAAAAAGATTAAACTTTACTTGTGTTGGATGTGGGTGTTCTGCCCCGCAAATCATGAAACATTGAAGCAAGTACAGTGAAAGATGCGTGGCAAACAAATTTTGCAAGCTGCCCTTATTTTCCCAAAATCATTCCCTGCAGTTTCTTTTTGATTCGACACAGCAGCACCGCAGGCTGAATTCTCTGACATCTATCACTATGTCTCATTTTTTTCCCATATCTTGATTCTGTTCATGATTTTGTCAGCATTTCAAGATCTTCAACCTCTTCCCCCCCCTGTGACTTCCCATGTTTTTTCCGCAGGTTGGGCGGGGTTCTGATCAGCAAAGTGGTCTCAGATGGCCTGGTGGATCGCTGGAACCAACAGCAGAAGGCCGCGGGCGCCGCGGGAAGCAGTCGCATCAAAGTAGGCGACCGCATCATTGCGCTGAATGGAGATGAGCTGAAAGGAGATGATCTCCTGGAAAGGTTGAAGACCTTTGGCCAGGTTTTCTTGGGCTGGGGATGTGGAGATTGGGAGAGTGTATATATGTGTGCATATAGAATAACTATATGACTACATATATATATATATATATTGCCAATTCAATATTGGGCCTTTTAATGATACAAAATAGTATAGAGTTTTGGGCGGGCCTTGGGAGAGTTGTTGTTGGTTGTTTTTTTTTTCTGCGTTGGAACAATTGTTGCGGACAGAATCTTTATTCAGGTTTACACAATTGTATCTTTAAAGGCTGTTTTAGGACTGAACATGGTTGAAAATAGTCCACAGGTAGGTTAATTAGAGATCCAGTCTCAAAGGTGATTTTGAGATAAACAAACCAGGCTTCGAGACCCAATCTGAGTCCATGGGCCACCGTTCATTTTGGCTGAGGAATGATCAAGAGTTGGTCTTGACAGTGCTGCACTACTGACTACAGAGAAGCAGCTGTTTGAGGCGGCTTGTGCCCTGTGTTGTTGGTTGGGGCGTGGCTTATTTTGGCCAACATCCAGAGCCTACGCCTTCACAGAGTCCTGGAGTAGATAGAAGATGCCATTGCACCAATCTGACAAGATATTATATGCACCTCAAATGTTCAGTTGCTGCCAGCAGAAGGTGGTACCATATTCTTGGCAACTTGCTCCAACCACAGGGTGTCGAATCATTTGATCCAAAAAGCCGCTAGAGGCTTGCGAGGAACTAGCACAATCTAGGCTTGGGTTATGCTGCAGAGGGTCCAAAAGAGTTGGCATGTTGAAAAGTGCTGGTAGCTTGCCTAAGATCCTTGATATGGGTGTGTCTGCACATGGGGTACACTCCACAATCGCAATCTGAATATGAATTTAGGGCTTCAGGGGTACCCCATTGTCAGACAAACTCATATGGTCTCATATGTACTGTAGCTTGAAGCACAGCTTTTCGTGTGTTTACATACCATGTTTTTTTGATTCCGGTGCTGTTCTTGCGTCTTTTTTTCCAGACCAATCACTAATTGTGACCCAGAGTAGACGCAATCAGACTACCTCAAAGGAGGAATCAGGAGCTTGCAGTCAACTCGCGAATTCGTTGCCAAAAGAGTTCGACAGAATTGAGGCTTGTGGGGATTGGCTGTTCCAGATCCTAAATCTTTTCAGAAGTTTCTTCACCTATCTGGCGGTCTTAAAACGACACAAATCAGGATCAAGATGCAAGATGCTTTTGCTTGAATGTGATTCAGGGCATTTCAGGGCCCCGAAGAGAAGAGGTCACTGAATCGAAGAGAATCGAAGAGAATCGAAGTCAAGATTCGAGTTCTATGGAGCACCAGAAAATCTCTCCAGTTGGGATCTGATTTTCATCTGTGAAAACAGTGACTCCTTGGCAACAAAATCATCGGAGCAATGAAACATATGTTGCGACAAAAATATTACTGTAGATATCACTGGCCCCTGTTTTTGAGGGTCGGTATATAAAATGCAGTAATTATATTATTATAATAAATAAATATATATATATAACTATATGACAATGATATATTATTTCATTCTATCATAGTATAATGATATTATCCAAATATTACTATAATTATATGATAATATATATCTATATATATATATATATATCTATTTCATTCTATTTGGATCTATTTCTCTCAGCTTTAAGCGACAGTTTAAGCGTCGACACCGGATTTCCCCCGAGGTCGTCAGTGACGGATTCCTCTGCAGTGTCGTGGAACTCACAGGTCCCCCATGGCATCATGGGATGATTTGGGGGGGTGAAACCCCATTGGAAACCTCCGGGAACCAATACCCTCTGGTGAACTAACATAGCTATTGAAAATCACCATTTTTAATGGGAAAATTCACTATAAATTGCCATTTTCAATAGCTACGTTAAATTACCAGAGGGTATCTGACCAAGCTTTTCTGAGTTCTTGTTATTTGCTGGTTTTTCTGTTTTCCGAATTGTGACATTCTAAGAAATCGAGGCATACCCATGCATACCCATTGTTTAAGAACTGTAACTATGCAAAGTGAATGTAATCATTTTGGATTCTCCAAAGAGGATGTCCTCTTATTCGATGCTTCATAGCACCTTTATAAACAAAAAAATCATTATCTCGGATCCAAAACGCTGAGGACATCATTGCATCATATTGCACCCCGCCTACATCCTCGCCCTTTGTTGGATTTTGTTGGTTATATTCATCATCAGGCTTTCAAGGCGGTTACTTCAAGATTTTGAAAGTCCAGGCCAGATATTTATATAGCCCTTGAACAACCAGGAAAACCAGTTCTTCTACGGCCCTGGATTGAAACCCAAGATCTCAATCGGGCACCAAGTTGGACAACAAGTTTGAAGATATGGGATATAACATGATATAACATGATATAACATGATTTAAATCCATACAAAACCCTATTTATCCATATGTTTGTTGGTGATCAATCCCTTGAAGTCCCCCTTTTTGCAGGGCTTTTTCCTATGGCGGACTCCACGAAAAAAATCTGCAGGTCACTGAGGAAGAAACTCGCCGCAAGGAAAAGAAGGAGCGCCTGGCAGCCCAGAGATGGCAATTTCAGCAGGAATTTGCAGTATGGTTTAGGCTTTATCTGGATTTACCCTCTGGTTATTTAACACTGGTTATGACTAACATAGCCATTTATAGATGTTGTCCCATTCATTTCTGATTTACCCCCTGGTAAACTCACATAACTATGGAAAGATCCACCATTTTCAATGGGTAAACCATCTATTTCAATGGGCCATGGCTTAACCATGGCTATGTTAGTCATAACCAGAGGGTAAATCCAGATAAACCCTGGTTATGACTAACATAACTATGGAAAATCACCATAGAAATAGTGGATTTTCCCATTGAAAAATGGTGAGTTTCCATAGTTATGTAAACGTTTACCAGGGTTTATCTGGATTTACCCTCTGGTTATGACTAACATAGCCATGGTTAAGCCATGGCCCATTGAAATAGATGGTTTACCCATTGGAAATGGTGGATCTTTCCATAGTTATGTTAGTTTACCAGATGGTATCTGGATTTAAAGAGTATCACATCCAGAGTATCATATCAAAATTAGGCTAGTTTTTATTCCCATCTTATCTTGTTTCATCTTGTTTCTTTCTTTTTCCATTCTTTGGGGCCGTGATTAAAAACGGCGAAGATTCTGGGCGTAGACCGAAGGGATGTCTCAGCTGAGGTAAAAGCCGAAAGCACAGGCACCATTCGGCTGATGTCCGGGCTGCCCAGTGAAGTGCTTGGTGGTTTCAACGAGGTTTTTGTTGACAATGCTTGGCTGGTTGGTGGTTTCAAACAGGTTTTTTGTCCATTTCATATATGGGATGTCATCCTTCCCATTACTAATAATACTAATATTTTTCAAGATGGGTAAAACATGGTAAAACCACCAACCAGTTGGATATGCATCCAATGAAAAATTGACGAAGATATCTTTGGGACGGGAAAAAAGTGGTTGAAACCAGCTGCCGACCGATCTTGACGCCGGCAAGGCGCATGCTGATCGTTCAGCAAAGAAAGATGCGCGGGCTCTAAGTCGTGTATGTAGCTACAGTCAAAGAATGATGGGGAAAAAAGATGAAAAAAGGTTGCGATTGACAAAATTCATCAATCATCTGAAGAGAATTCGAAATGCATGTATTTCCATATGAATAGATAGGTTTTTATTTCTATCCGCTGAATTCGAAATATAGATGTAGCTGGTTGGTGGTTTCAAACATTTTTTATTTTCCATTTCATATATGGGATCATCCCAACTGTTACTCACTCACATATTTTTCAGAGGGGTGGCGAAAAACCACCAACCAGATGGCGGCCGAGGATGGGGCGTTGCCAAAGCCCTACAACTGGGCGGAGGAGGCAGGACCATTCCGGGGACCTTTTTGGGCACCCGGTGGCACTGGGAAATCCCACGGAAGGGGGCGATACATGGGAAAATCATCTATCATTGGATTGGTTTTGTTGGGAAGACCTACAGGAAACCAGGGTTTTTACCATTAAATCTGGGGTTTTCCTGTAAATTTCCCCTTAAACCAACCCAGTGAATCTATACCCTCTGGTAAACGTTTACATAACTATGAAACATCACCATTTTGAATGGGAAAAACTCACTATTTCTATGGCCATTTTCAATAGCTATGTTAAATTACCAGAGGGCAAATCAGAAATGAATGGGACAACATCTATAAATGGCGGAGAGAAATGCGAAAATCATCTATAAAGATATCTCTAAAATTCTTTAAATACCTATAAATTATATAATCAGAAATGAATGGGACAACATCTATAAATATTATAAATGTTGGATTTATTGGGAAAAACATCTACAGATGGTGGACTTTTAATGGGACATCATCCAACTCATGGGGGAGTTTCCCAAATTTTCCAATGCCGCCATGTTTAGCCAGGGTCAAAAAAGTACGAGTCAACCTTGGATTGGTACTTGAATGGTTCAATCTAGCAACTTTAGCCATGGCCATGGGGTCTCCCGGAGGTGGTGAAAGCTTCCCTGGATCCGCAGAACCAGTGGGAGTTCCCAGCTCCATCCGGGAAGGCTGGCTATGTGCGGAATCTCAGATCCGTGGGAGATCGTAGCTGGGCAGTGTCGTAACTCAAGGACTTTATAAACCATATGTCAAGAGGAGGCGGTTGCTTGACCTTCCGACACAGCATCATATGCATTAAGTATTATATGAATTAAAAATTATTAATATATATATATATATATCATATAATGCTTAAAGCTGATAAGGACTTGTTTAAGTGGTTAGTAAGCACAATATTTACTGGCAGCCAGCTTGGTGTGTTATGCTAGGACTGCTAGGACTGCTAGGACCTTTCCTAGCGACTATAGTCTGCAGGTCAGGTCACCATTTAAGGCCCATTTAAGATAGAACCTTCGACAGAATCTTATAGTGATTGGCGGGCCCAAGGACGCCGACACCTTCAGTAGATGGTGATTTTGTTGCTAAACCACATGTTTTGTTGCAAACCAACATGGCTCAGCATCAAATTTCGAGGACTATTTGGCTTTTTGCGTTGACTAATCAGTAAAAGGCCGTGCATATCGTTGAAGTTCCGTGCCCTGGTGAGGTTGGATCGCTCGCAGCGTGGGAGCAGCCACGGAGCCCAGCATGGCTCAGCATGGGGCATGGCAGAGCAACCACTGGCGACAGAGTTTAGCGGGGTGGGGATTCAACCAAGCACCACCCAAAGATCACATGTTATGAGGGTATATTGATGTATATTGTTAGTCACTGTTAGTCTATAAAGGAATGAACCACGCATATGTTGATGGGTTTTTAATGGTTTACCACTCATTAGATGGTAGTTTACTATTGTTTTGGTAACATGAATGGGATTCACTCAATGGGATCTAGTGGGATATAACACTAGTAACTAATATAATAAGGATCTATTGAGGGGAATTCGGATGCCCCCCAACCCCTAGGGATTTATCAACAAATATGAGGATATATAGTGTCACATAGTGGGACGACCTCCCAATAAGGGCTTGTTAAGGCCGAATCTTAACCACAACAACCACAAATAACCACAATGGCCACAATACCTTGCCATAATTTGCCTATCTTGGGGCCCAGCGGGGCCCCGTGTTTCTTTGAGTTTTCACCACTCAGACACCAAGCTTCCCGCAGTTGAAATGGTACCGAAACTGAAGCATCCCCAACCCCGGCTGCCAATCACAGGCCGCGTGCGCGGGGGACGGAAGTCGCGTCCCGCGCGCGTGAGCGCGCCGAGGAGGTGGGAAAAAGCTCCATCGAAGCCACGGGATTTTCGATTTTCCCTATGAAATCTGGGGATTTCTCGTAATTTTTAAGCCTTAAACCGATCCATTGATACGTGGATCTACATGATGGATTACCAGAGGATAAGTGAGCTCATCAATGAAGCTTCTATATTTTTCCAACCATGTTCGTTGATAAATGTTGATAGGATGTGCGGGAAAAGATTTAGAATCCATTGGAAACATCTCACCAGAAAGGAGGGTTTTCTGGTGTTTCCACACGAGTTCCTTGAATGTAGAATTGTATCTAGTGATGTGCTCGCTATAGGTACTGTATGTACATAGGTGGGATGAGAAGATTTATTGCAGGGGTGGTGGAAAAACAGAGAGAGAGACATATATAGATATGATATACATTATATACATTATATATATATAGAGGATAGATGTAAATCAGAAAGTTTCAGAGCAGTGGTGAGAGTTCCAGTCTCTTAGGAACATAATCATAGCAGGCCACTAGCTGAGCCTCTTTGCAGTATCTTTGGGTCACTGGAGGTCAAATTGGTGATGGTCTATAGCACCCATTGATTGGTCATATATATATATATATACATATGATCATATAATGATGTTTTATAACACATTGTGCATATAATATGATATATATACATATACACACACATATATATATATATATGTGTGTGTTGTGTATATATATATATATACTAGTCAAATATGGTCATAGCTTATCACATTACACACCACCGTCATAGCCTTTTGTTGTTGATCTTCCCGGCAGGTACAGCGTTGGGAGCGACACCACGATTCTCAGCCACTTGACTCAGTGCACGACGGGCATCCAGGCGTTCACTCATGGTTTTAGTTTGGCAGTCATCAGAAGCGCGGAGCCTGGCAGTTTCTGGGCCATATCCTAAATACATATATATATATGCACATAGTAAATATACACACATACCATACATACATACACTCATACACACATACACACATACACACATACACACATAACGCACATAACACACATACACACGTACACACATACACATATACACACATACACACGTACACACGTACACACGTACACACACATACACATGTACACACATACATACACACACATATATACACCATTTTTGTATATAGATAGTATCAACCTCCCCAGTTATGACATAATTGTTGTACTGATTTGAGCCCCCAGCACACACAAGGGACTGATCATGAGTCAAACATTGGCAATCGTCACGGGCTTCGAATGATTCTAATGTCATATCCCATATGCTCCATGTTGGTAAATATTCCATACATAGAGCATATTGGTATTTGTCCATAGCTCTTTCAGGTATCTACCAGGTGACCATCGTTTTTTACGGTTGGGGGTAGCCTACTGAGGCAGCAGTACATCTTCGGGACCCCGCGCTGAACGCCCGACAATTCCTGCGGTGGTACCCACAGACGTGGGAAAGGCACCTAGCAGGCACAGCCGCTGATGCCAGAGGCATTAGCCCAGAATCCAGCAGATAGGGATAGGCAGCTTGGAAGTTTGAAGAGTGGCGCGAAGAACTTGGGGCTTAGAAAGTACAAACTAGTACAACACAAACATGTCAAGTTATCAAGTTCATGATGAATTGAGCTATGGCTTGTAAACAAACCATAGATTTGTCAACTTATCAAGTATAATTTTGAGCTATGTTCAGATACCTTTTCCCCTGACTTCGGGGCCCTGAACCGGGGCCCAGTTCGGGGCCCTTTTCCCGCGACAATAGTTTGACAATACGGTATGATATAACATGGTTTGATGTAATATAATATGATATGCAAAATACTAATATATAATATAATATAATATAATATGATATGATATAATATGATATGATATGATATGATATATTATATACAATTCACGAATCACGTGCCTCGGGGATCATTCTACTTGATCTTGTGGATTCCATTTGACGCAACTAGCCTGGTATGACCCCCCAGTGCAGTTGGGCCAGAGTCGCACTCCTCTTCGCAATGGCCGTCGCGGGGCCGAGAGAGTCATGTCCATCGCTCACCGCTGGGCTTGATGTTTTGAGAAGGTTACCGGAGTTTGGATGGTCAGTCCTAGTTGTTTTTTGCTTGGCATTCCAATCACCACATCCTGCACAGTATCTATGAAATATCTATTTCATTATATTTCATTCATTCCTTGATTGATGTGATTATTGTACATTATTATTTCAATCTGGTACGGATAGTGATATGAGCCACATGGCTATTCAAGAAGCAACAGGAAGCTGGCACTGCCTCAATCTAATCATGTTCAGGTTTTCAACGAGTTGTTCTTGCAATGGATTTTCCAAGTTTCATTGCCCAATTTTGGTGTTTTCCTCCTGGGTCCCTGCAGTTGAGCAATGGTGTGGCATCGTTGCTGGTGGTGTGCCAATGGGCACCTGCCTTGTTCGGACTTCCTCAATCATGGCTGGTCAGCTATTCTGGCATGAGAATGCTTTGAATAACGCCATATTAAACGGCATGTTTACTTTTTTGGGGGGGGGCAGGCACGCCCACTTGTTTTACTATAAGGTTTGGTTTCCTTCGGAGCATTTTTCGGGGTTTGGTTGACTCTGGTTGAGGTCCGCAGGTCTCACCGCAGTTTCCAGTCGTCGGGCCCCACTCTTTTTGTTACGTCTAAAGGCTATTGGTCGCCAAAATGGACGACCAAGTGGCAAGACGACTGCAACATGCAAAAAGATTGCTGGAGCTGTGAGGGTGATGTTATGGTGATATATGGTGATATAAAGGGGATTTAGATATAGACTAGGGAAAATGACGATCTAAAACGGACTTCGATGGATTTGATGGATTTCGATGGATTTTTCATGATTTTTCAGTTGGTGAATTATTATGATTTATATTTATATATCTAGTGTTTTAGGAACAACGGTTTGTTCTCAGTGCTTCAGATGTATCATGAGACTATGCCTGGATTCCATGCAACATACCCATGTGGCAGCATCGATTTTTGTAGCTTTTGAATGGCAAGATGACACCACTTCCCAGTGGAAACTTTGATGTTATAACGACCTCACTGCGACCTTCATGGTTAGTAAGGGGAATCATCCCCAAATAGCCTTATTTCAGGTTAGTGAAATATTATGATTTAATTACCCGGATATGTATATATATATATATGTGTGTGCTTCTATACTGCTATAATTGCATGTTTGATCATAGGGAGCCATGATGAAACTTGCCCTGGCGTGGCAAAGTGATGTGCAGCAGTTCCAATTTGCATGTTAGCTTTGTGTGAGCCCACTCAGGTAGCTGTTTAAGCTGGCAGAATTGCGAGAGCGGAGGTCTCTGTGAGCATTTTGAAGAGATGACTTAAATGGCTTTAAAATCCAATGAGATGAAGCACACGAACTGATAGTGGAATATATAGAATTATGTAGATATATTTATATATCTCTCAAACTATCTCAAACTCAACTATTATATATAATGCCTAAGTATTTGTTGGTGATGTTAGGTGCCATTCCCAAAAAAGCACATTCAGTCCCCGTGACTGGCGCTCCGCAGCGATTTTTGGGGCTCCGAAACTGGCCGACCTCAAGGGTTGGCAGCTCGGGGCAGCGTGCAAGGACAGGGAAGAAAAAACGGCAGCTACCCTCTGGTAAACTAACATAGCTGTGGAAAATCACCATCTTTAATAGGTATATAATGTATATAAATCAACCATCAATAGGCCATAGGCCATTTTCAATAGCTATGTTAGTCATTACCAGAGGGTACATCGCTCTCGAGGGAACCTTTCATCTATCATCTATCACTGGGACTCTGATGGGAAAATGATTTGAGCAGATACCCGATACGGTAATTTGTTACATAGCCATGGAAGCCATGGCTCATTTACTTCGATGAGTTACAGCTATTCAACATGGTGAAAAAAACTGCCGGGATGCAGCTGATATGGCAAATGGGCCCACTACCCTCCGGTAATCCAACATGGCATAGGAAATGCCCAATGAACGTGGAGCTTCTATGGGAAAAGCATCGAACTTATTGGCAGGGTATATGTGAGGGGGTCCTGGCAAACAGAATGCCCGGTGTTGATGATGATATTGATGGGGCACAACAACTGCATGGAATCCCCAAGACGAAGAGAGTATATAAAGATATGTACATGAGCTTGTTTCAAAATTTGAAAAACCATAAACCCAAATTTCCAAAGCTCATGAAAATTCATTGTGCCATCAGTTCCCCTATTATTCAATGATGTTGAGACAAACTCTTACCCTCTGGTAATTTAACATTATGCTATTGAAAATTGCCATAGAAATAGTTGATTTACCCATAAAATGTGATTTTTCATCGTTGTGTTAGTTTTCATGTGGAGCCGAGCCTCCGCCGTCCCTTGGCTTTCAGCCGTTTGCGATGGCGGCAACGCGACGCGTAACGCGACGCGTCGTGCGGCGTAGCGCGCGCGACGCGTGGCGCGGTGCTGGAGGCGATTCTGAGTTGCATGGGGAACCCATGGGGAATCCATGATTATAATTGATAATTCCCGAGAGCATCTGAGCGAAGGGTTCTTCTAAAAGTGGAGGTCTGCTATACATCTTCACATCTGCACATCCTCATCTTCTCATCTTCACATCCTCACATCTTCACACAGCTTCTCTCTCTCTCTCTCTTTCTCTCTCTCTCGCTCTCTCTCTTTTCCTCTTTGTTTCTTTCTTCTTTCTTTCTTTCTTTCTTTCTTCTTTCTTTCTTTCTTTCTTTCTTTCTCTCTCTCTCTCTGGCTCTCTTGCCCTCGCCACGATAGGGCAACCCTTTCGCACGAAATGAGGTTCGAGTGTCAAAAACCGAGGGTTTTTTGCCATTTTACATCCTCGGCGGCAACCTTTTCGCACGAAATAAGGTTCGAGTGTCAAAAGCTGAGGGTTTTTTGCGAGTTTACAGTAGTTTTTTTGCGAGTTTGTTTGGTCCGGCGCCAACCCTTTCGCACCAAACGAGGTTCGAGTGTGAAAAACTGAGTTTTTTTTGAAATTTACATTCTCCGCGGCAACCCTTTCGCACAAAACAAGGTTCGGGTCAAAAACTGAGGGTGTAAAAGTGTTAGTGCGTAAAAGAGTTTGTAAAAGTGTTTGCGTGTAAACGTGTTTGTGTGTAAAAAAAGTGTTTGTGCGTAAAAGAGTCTCTGTGTAAAAGCGT